GAGGAAGGGCAAAAGGGAGGGGTGGGGAGGAGGAGGAGGAAAGGAAAAAGGGGAGGATGGGATAGGGGAGGGGAGATTGGGGGGGTAATTAGGTTCGGTCTGAGGAAGAAGACCGACAGGTCTAATTCCTCAGACCAAGAGCCTCTTCACCACGCCAAGGAGCCCCCCTTGAAGAGGAGACTCATCAATAACAAGCTTCCTGAAGGGATAAAAATACATGAAACACTTTTGTTTCAGGTACATAAACACATTTCTGATCTTATATAACCTGTCGCTTCTGTCAGGCCTTGTTTTGTCTGAAAAGTGTAACATACGTAACAGTATCAAAAAACGATTTACTCCTATAATGTCACTAAAACCTGGGGTTGAAATCAGGCTTTCTGCTGACCAGTATGTGGTGACAGTGTGCTTATACACATGTGGCATAAGCATTATTGTGGCAAAGAACAGGTACATCTCTGCCACAGTTCTGTCCTTCCACTGGTGTAGCCGTGATCTTGGTGAAAGTATTGTATTTGCCATGGTGTGCTCATAGTATGTGGTGTTGGTTTCCCTGACAGTAATGTCCATCAGGGGTTCATCGAAGAATAACTGAAAGCATTCCAGTTCAGTAGCATTGTTCGCAAGTGTACACGATGGCCGTATTCCACTTTGTGTTTCATCAAAGTCATGGGGACTGGGAACAAACTCGTCACCTTGCTGCCAATCCCAGATGCGGTCAGCTGGTGGATTCTGGATATTGAAACGTGGTTGTGGTTGTGGGAGTGTGGGGTTGGGTGAGGCTGGTTGTAGTTGTGCAGAGTCAGCAGCTTTGGTAGTAGCGTGGCCCGCTGCTGGTGCCACATGACTTGGTGCACCTTCACTGTCACCACCACCACCTGCTGCCTCACTCACATCAATCATACCCATCGTAAGAATATCGTCATCTTCACTATCAGGTCGTAGTGTAGGGCCACGGGATGTGCTCCGAGATTTATTCCTTCCCCTTGGAACAGCACATGACACACTACCAGACTGCATGCTACATCGTATATACTGCTGCTTCACTGGGGAATATTCACCCTCACTGTCGCAACTAGAACTGCTTTCAATAGCTTTGAAATCACTATCACTCTCACTGCTCACATCTGAGTCTTGTACACGGGCAAATAGTTTCCTCTTTCGTCCGGGTACAGGTGAACGTGAACGAGCCGGGCCAGCACCAGAGGTGGAAGGTTGTGGGTCATCTGGGTTTTCATCACTAATTACATTATTCTGGGCACTGTTTTCGGTCACACCTACTTGAAAACCATGGAATTCACTTTCACTTGCACTTCCATTGCTGTTAGAGTTATCACTTGGGAACAAAAGACCTCCAATCCGCCGATGAGTGAGGTACTTCTTACCGCGAGGAATGGTGAAAATGGAGTACCAAGATGGTGTTCCCACGATGCACCACTGAGTCCCAGATTTTTTCACAGGGTGCACACCCACCACTCAGACCCATTCTCTCTCATGTAGGCCTACCAGCTTTCTCCCGCTTGATTTGAAGCCGCTAGAATTTATGCGTATAAATACGTCCGAAACAGTGGTGCGTAAGACATATATACGACTGAAACGGTCAAAGGGTTAAATAAAATAAGTACAGTATCTTCTAAAATGATAGGGAATTTCTTTTAAGATGCAAAATTTTATGTAATATGAACTTATGGAATTACACTGGCATGAATTTGGTCAGGGTTGATCAGGTAACACATTATGCAACAGTGATTTGGCCGAGTCTGAAACTTGTTTTAGGCCAATTTCTTTGCTTTTGAAGTGAACCAGTTCCTGGCTATTTGTTAGTATGCCCTCCATAATATCCATTGATTGCAAGAAACTATCTTATTAAAAAGCCAGAAGCTGATAATTTGGCCTGTTTCAACTTCTTTTCAACAAATTCCAATTAGTCAAAAACAAATACTGTAGGCATTCCAGCCACTTAAGCAACCTTTCCCCTGTTCATTGATCACATCCCCAGGCCTCTCCAGTACACTTTCCCTCCATTTTGAATCAATTGCAACACAAAAAATGTGATGAATGGTTTGAAAAACCAACAAGTTGAAGATTGAGACACTTATGCAACATATAGGAATCTTTATTCAGGAAACGCTTCGCCACACAGTGGCTTCATCAGTCCAATACAAAGCAGAAAGGTGTAAGGAGAGTAGGAGTTTGAGGTAATCAGTCTTTCTGCCTGGAGTCGATGTGCTCAGTCCATCAATCTTGTAGAATGTACAGCATAGGGCCGTAGACGTGGCTTATAAACTGTATGTATTGATATAGGTTATGGAGCAGTACGTTTTAACATACATTACAGGTACATAATTAGATACATACATAATTAGATACATACATAATTAGGTACATACATAATTAGATTTATAATAGTGAGGTAGTACAAAACATATAACAATATTACAAATGGTAGATTTAATAATGGGATTGGATTTGTCTTGGCATGATACACAGTTTCTATTAAAGCTCATAGATTGGAAGAGTATCTTAGGCAAACTTAGAACTAACTTAAGATTTAATAGGGAATAACTATATTAGGAATTTTATGTTTAGTCACTTGGGTGAGTATAATAATTGACAAAAACATATATATACACCTACCATCCGACTTACGACTGAGTTCAGTTCCGAGAAACTGGTTGTAAGTCGAAATGGTCGTAGGTCGAACTTTACTACTGAATATCAAAAAAACATTTTTGTAATGACTTTATTTTATTGTTTTATTTTGGTATTTCATGTTTTACTTTACTTTTTATGTTGTTAGTACTGTATTTTATACTGTAAGGTTTAGGATAAACACTGTGTACAACACAAATAGTTGTTTATTTCCCAGAAATTTTGCATAAAAAACACGGTCGTAAGTCGAGTGGTCGTAAGTCGAGCAGGTCGTAAGTCGGATGGTAGGTGTGTATATATATATATATATATATATATATATATATATATATATACAGTGGACCCTTAACCAGCGATGGCATCGATTAACGATAAATCTGACTAGCGATACATTTAAACGCAAAAATTTTGCCTCAACTAGCACTTAAAAACCCGACCAGCGCTATTCGTTCCATACCATACGCGTCCACTTTGGCCTGAGCGCGCCTCACTTGTCCCTTCGGTGTCAGTGTTTACAAGCCAGCCAGCCACCGCAGTTGCTTCCAAACATACAACAACTGGAACATTTCATATCACAGCCTTTGTAGTGATTGCACCTGCAAAATAAGTCACCATGGGCCCCAAGAAAGCTTCTAGTGCCAACCCTACAGCAAAAAGGGTGAGAATTACTATGGAGATGAAGAAAGAGATCATTGCTAAGTATGAAAGTGGAGTGCGTGTCTCTGAGCTGGTCAGGTTGTATAATAAACCCCAATCAACCATCACTACTATTGTGGGTAAGAAAACGGCAATCAAGGAAGCTGTTCTTGCCAAAGGTGCAGCTGCTGCTGCACCACAGTCAGCTGTTGTTGTTGCTGCACCACCATCAGCTGTATTACTCGAAGATGTGGAGAGAGTGTTGTTGGTGTGGCTTAACGTGAAACAATTACCGAGAAACAATTAACCCCGGAGGGTTAGCCACCCAGGATAACCCAAGAAAGTCAGTGCATCATCGAGGACTGTCTAACTTATTTCCATTGGGGGTCCTTAATCTTGTCCCCCAGGATGCGACCCACAACAGTTGACTAACACCCAGGTGAACAGGAAAAAATGCCTGGAACTAGTGCTCATACTGGTGAGGTTAGTGGGGAGGATGTGGAAGAGTTGGTGGAGGAGGACAATGAATTACAAACCACTGATGAGCTGCTAGATCATCTTCAACAGTAAGAGGCCACACCTGAGAAAACTGCTTCGGAGGAGGGGAGAGAGAAATTGAAGAAGTTGCCTACTTCAAAGATTAAGGAAATGTGTGCAATGTGGCTTAAAGTGCAAACCTTTTTTGATGAAAATCACCCTCACACAGCTATTGCAAGCCGTGCTGGTGACTATTACACTGACAATGTTGTGAAACACTTTAGGATAAAGGAACGAGAGGTACAGGCCTCTATGGACAGATATGTTGTGCGATAGAAGTCCAGTGACTCTGAAGCTGGTCCTAGTGGCATTAAAAGAACAAGGGAAGTAACCCCAGAAAAAGACTTGCTGCCTCAAGTGCTAATGGAAGGGGATTCCCCTTCTAAACACTAACAAGATCAACGGTCTCCCCCTCCTCCCATCCCATCAATCATCACCAGATCTTCAATAAAGGTAAGTGTCATGTAACTGTGCATGTCTTCTTCAGTTTGTGTGTATTAAAATTAATATTTCATGTGGTAAAAATTTTTTTTTTCAATACTTTGGGGTGTCTTGCATGGATTAATTTGATTTCCATTATTTCTTATGTGGAAAATTAACTTGACTAACGATTATTTTGAGTAACGATGAGCTCTCAGGAACGGATTGATATCGCTGGTTGAGGGTCCACTGTATATATATATACATACACCTACTATCCGACTTACGACCGAGTTCGGTTCCAAGAAACCGGTCGTAAGTCGAAATGGTCGTAAGTCGAACTTTACTACTGAATATCAACAGAACATTTTTGTAATGACTTTATTTTATTGTTTTATTTTGGTATTTCATGTTTTACTTTACTTTTTATGTTGTTAGTGCTGTATTTTATACTGTAAGGTTTAGGATAAACACTGTGTACAACACAAATAGTTGTTTATTTTCCAGAAATTTGGCATAAAAAACACGGTCGTAAGTCGAGTGGTTGTAAGTCGGATGGTAGGTGTGTGTGTGTGTGTGTATATATATATATAATATATATATATATATATATATATATATATATATATATATATATATATATATATATATATATATATATATATATATATATATATATATATATATAAGAGCAGAAGTTTATGATACAAAACATAAATGAAGGTTAATACTAACTGCAATTTTATTAATTACAGGGAGAAATGAATAAACCATGGGTAACAGAAGGAATGAAAAATGAAATTATGAAGAAGCATAAATTGCACCAGAAGGCCAAAAAGACAAAAAGTAAAGCAGACTGGGATGAGTTTAAGGAACAACGGAATAAGGTGACGACCATGCTGCGTGAAGCCAAGCTGGAGTACATAGGAGCACACCCAGAAGAGGTAGGTAGCATTTTGGGTTGGTGATCCTGAAACCTCTGGAAAAAGTCTTTAGGGAAGGCATGGTGTGGTGGACTCAGCACTTGGGAAGTTAGTGTGGGAGTCATTGAAATAGTGCAGTGGTGTATGGTTCAGTGATTTAAAAAAATTTGGTTAGGGACATTTAGAGGGAGAATTTCAGAATTGTTGGGAATTTAGATGATACATTGTTCTTTGCCTTGTGTCCCCACATCTCAAGGGTTTTGGGTAGGGATGATTGTATATGACTATCATGCCATTGTGTAGCTTACAATATCTGGGACACCCACCATCCTTCTCCTGTGACTTATTGGTCATCGTTGGGGAGGAGAAGAAACATGACAACCTGCATACGAGGTGATGTTGTCACATACTGTTAAAATTGCAATCATTCGCCAATTAATAATAGTCAATTAGAAAACACGTGACATCTCTCTTAAAGTTTCCTTTCAACTTGGAATGATTTCTTGAACTATTGAGAACATCACCTTCTGAGCTGACTTGTGGGAACCGGTCTGGTATAGTCAAATTTAAAATTTTGCCTGAACCACTGATGCATGAGCTGAATCGCTCTTTGTCATTTGGGTTAAATTTAATTTAGATGCAAGTTAATTTTTTTAAATTGCCTTAAATTCATAGGCTTTGCTCAATAAAAAGTAATTAAATTTAAATGCAGTATAATGTTTTCTTAATTCTCAGCATGAAGCTGTATTGCATAACTTACGTGTTATCATCTCAACCTTGCTTTAAAGACAAAATTTAGTTGTGGTTGTGTTGGTTGTGATGTAAGTGGTCCCTCCTGTTGCTCTTTCGGTAGTGGACCAGGCCCAGGCCCAACCCACGCCATATTAACATTATATTTCACACAATTTACAGGATGTGGATAAAATATTGGCGGAAGCAGCCATGCAAGGCAACATTAAAGATGAGGAAAATAAAGGGGAGGCGTCAGCCACTAGTGAAGCTAATGCGGACAGTTCGGACGCCCCCGAGGGGGGTGGGGCAAAACCCCAATCCATGGACCAGGCAGAGGAGAACGGGGAGTCTATAGTGGATCAGAAAGAGTTAAACACCGATGTACCAATGGCTCCCCTGGCCCCAGAAATAGTGGGGGGCATAAAATCGGAGACCAATGGGGTCAGCCAAGTGGATGTTAAAGCACCTGGTCAATAGGCTCTGAGCCGTGACCACCACCCACCCTGCCACTTTGTCCTGCTATCATAGCTAAAATCTACTTTATATTCAAACTGTATTTTTGAAATAGGGTTATGCTCCATACTTTTTTAGACTTAGAAAGTAAATGTTTTAAAGAAAAAATTAAAAAAATCAGTCTTGCTCTAAATTTCTATTAATATGACTGTGTTCACAAATAATGAATTTATTTTCAATGTCCAGATCAAGTCATTAATTTTAACTTAAGGTTATGAGATCTTGTATCAATATCTCTTATATGATTAGTGAATTTTTTGTGCAATTGAGACCATTGGCTCATCTTAAATATGTTTTCACTTAGGTTAAGGAAATAAATTTATAGTAAATGACATGGGTGTTTAAATAAAAGAAAAAAGTAGCATGCTTATGGCAGTATATAACTCTCAGTGGCTCAGTTTTCACACCTTTTTTTTTAAAGGTTGCATGACAAATTGAACAATAATATAGATCATATGAGTCTATAAATTGTAATTAGTAAAATTTTTCGTTCATGCAACCTTAGTGGCGACTGCTTCACATTGTCTTAAGGAAGAGAACTTGTCATGAGGTCAGTCTCACACACCACACACACAAGTGGACCTTCCAATTCATCCCAGCTCACGACGAACATGTCTCTACCCAGCCTATGCTTTGTGTCTCCCGTCTCCCGTCTCCCAGTGGTTCTAGACTTGTAGCCATTGCTTAGGGTGATGTCAGGTCCTGAATCACATGTTCCTCTGGATGACAGATCCTCTCCTCTCTGGACTAAGGCATTGTCAAATCCCCAGGGGCTGATACACTTGACTCATCTTACAGGCTAAGGCATCAATGTACCAGCTCATTTCTCACCTTATTATTTCCATCACTTTTATTTTTGTTATTTTAGTTGATTTTCAATACAATTAGTAAGCACTGGTTTACAAAACCCTGTCACCTATGTGCTGTAATAAATTTTGAATTCCTAAAAACAATTTTGTCTACCACTTTGGTTTAGAAATGCACAAACATTCCAAGAGTTAACTTTCCTTATTAGAATATTTTTGCACAACGGTGACATGGGTTGATCACTATTAATCATATAGTGGCATAACAAAATATGCCCCCAAAACTGTCAAGAATCTTAGCTGCCGGAATCAGCATCGGTCTGTGGCTCAGCAGGTAAAGTTACCCATCAGCTCTGGCTGACTTGTTTCACCAGCTTTATGCTGATCATGTTCTTCTCAATACAGTCTTGTGTGTTATCTCTTGCTTAAAAAAGAAAAGTAAAGTACAAAGTTAATATTGCTCAAGAGTAACAGTGCTCTGTGTACAAAATTTAATGTGCTATAAATCGATTCTCAAACTTAACTGTCTTGCAAAGCCGTGACAAAATTGTTCAGTAGACATAGCCTAGCCAGTGTGGAATGTTTAGAGTATTTGTATGGTAAGTTGGTTGTGGCCATATTACCAAAACTGTGTAGTGACTTCTCGTGTTATCTCAACAGTGATCCTCATGTGGCTGGGTGGCACCAGTACATGTGACAATAGCATCAACTACTGGGTGGTAAAGCACCTAAGTGTTCCAGCCAGGGTGCAATGTCTGAGCTGCCAGAACTCCTCAGTGGACCCTTCTTCCATTGAGTTTCCCATCATCTACTGTAATGGACCAAAGAAACAGTACAAGAGTGAAGTGTGTTGAGACTATCTGAGTGCCAGTAACTATAAATTATTCAGTTGCAAAGGATGTTCAGAAGATAATATGAATTTACTATTCTGTGTGATTTCAACACTTCTTCATGAAAGGGTATGTATTTACATTTCATTGTTTTATTCATTTATTATATTGTTTACTAGATATTAGATTTTGTGTATGGGTTCTGATGAACCACTAGGAATTCATTTTACCAGTATTGCCTGCTAAATGACTGGTTTCAGGATCTCCTTACCATTTTCACTTTTTTTTTTTTTAGCTCCTCTACCTTCTGCCTTTTTCTTTGCATGTATAGTATTTGTATGTCTGGAAAATTTTCCAGCACCGAGAGCCATTTAATCAGCTGATGTTCTCATTAAAAAACCTTAAGCTTGTCAAGTGTGAAAGACTGTTTACTGTAAAAATTGCTGTACAGTCAAGTGATAAGCATAGTATGCCCTTCACATAGCGAGGAATTCGTTTACTGATGTGGTCTTAGGAACAGAACTCTGTCGTTAAGTGCGGATAGGCTGTAATAATAATCACTCTTGAGCATGTTAAATACCTTATTTTTCATTAATATAGGCATTTTCATTAATCCATATATGATATTTTTTTCAAAATTATAGTATAAGAAATGTGTTACATAGCATATAGACATGATACATATACCCAAAGTACAATAAATTTCACATAAATATGAGACATGGTACTGGGCAAAGGGAAAGAATTCCATTTTCTCTGGTTCAGCACCATAGATAATGTGTATCAATGCATCTTTAATGCACTCGGGTTTGTTTACAGTTGTGGGCATGATTTCTCATCACTTTTCGGTCATTTATGATGCATCTAAGGATAGTTGTTAGAAATAATTAAACTCAAGTGAACAAGGTATGTCGATGGTAATAATAATAATAATAATAATAATAATAATAATAATAATAATAATAATATCGCTCTGGGGCACTTTAAATATCGCATATTACATTTAGGTGTTGTAGCCAGGCAGCTACGTGTTACACCTACCAGGTACCTACACCTGACTTCCTACAAATAAATACGTACTACTATGGGCTAGTAACCCCTGCTCCTTTACAGATTTACTAAAAATCAGAAGAAGAAAAACTTTTTAAAACTGGGATGCTTGAATGTGCTTGGATGTAGTGCAGATGATAAGAAAGAGATGATTGCTGATGTTATGAATGAAAAGAAGTTGGATGTCCTGCCCTAAGTGAAACAAAGCTGAAGGGGGTAGGCGAGTTTCCGTGGGGAGAAATAAATGGGATTAAGTCAGGAGTAGCTGAGAGAGTTAGAGCTAACGAAGGGGTAGAAATAATGTTGAAGGACCAGTTATGGAAGGAGAAGAGGGAATATAAATGTGTAAATTTTGGGAGATGTTAAGCAAATGTATGGGAACCTTTGAACCAAATGAGAGAGTATTGTAGTAGGGAACCTAAATGTTAAAGTAGGAGAAACATTTAGAGAGGGTGTGGTAGGTCAGTTTGGGGTGCCATGTGTAAATGATAATGGGAGCTCTTTGATTGACCTTTGTATAGAAAGGGGTTTAGTTATAATTAATATGTATTATAAGAAATAGAGGAAAAATAAGTATACAAGATATGATGTAGGGTGTAATGACAGTAGTTTGTTGGACTATGTATTGGTAGATAAAAGACTATTGAGTACACTTCAGGAAGTACATGTTTATAGAGGGGCCACAGATATGTCAGATCACTTTCTAGTTGTAGCTACAGTGAGAGTAAAAGGTAGATGGGATACAAGGAAACTAGAAGCAGAAAGTAAGAGAGAGGTGAAGGTGTATAAACTAAAAGAGGAGGCAGTTAGGGTAAGATATAAAAAACTATTGAAGGATAGATGGGCTAGTGAGAGTATAGGCAATGGGGTCGAAGATGTAAGGGGTAGGCTTAAGAATGTAGTGTTAGAGTGTTCAGCAGAAGTTTGTAGTTACTGGAAAGTGGGCGCGGGAGGGAAGAAGAGCGATTGGTGGAATGATGATGTAAAGAGAGTAGTAAGGGAGAAAAAGTTAGCATATGAGAGGTTTTTACAAAGTAGAAGTGATGCAAGGAGGGAAGAGTATATGGAGAGAAAAAGAGAGGTTAAGAGAGTGGTGAAGCAATGTATAAAGAGAGCAAATGAGAGAGTGGGTGAGATGTTATTAACAAATTTTGTTGAAAATAAGAAAAAGTTTTGGAGTGAGATTAATAAGTTGAGGAAGCCTAAGGAAGAAATGGATTTGAGAGTTAAAAATAGGAGAGGAGATTATTAAACGGAGAGATAGAGGTATCGGGAAGATAGAGGGAATATTTTGAAGAATTGTTAAATGCTGATGAAGATAGGGAAGCTGTGATTTTGTGTATAGGGCAAGGAGGAATAATATCTTGTAGGGGTGAGGAAGAGCCAGTTGTGAGTGTGGGGTAAGTTCGTGAGGCAGTGGGTAGAATGAAAGGGGGTAAGGCAGCTGGGATTGATGGGATAAAGATAGAAATGTTGAAAGTAGGAGGGGATATAGTTTTGGAGTGGTTGGTGCTATTATTTAATAAATGTATGGAAGAGGGTAAGGTACCTAAGGATTGGCAGATACCATGCATAGTACCTTTGTATAAAGGCAAAGGGGATAAAAGAGAGTGCAAAAATTATAGGGGAATAAGTCTTTTGAGTATACCTGGTAAAGTGGTAGAGTTATTATTGAAAGAATTAAGAGTAAGACAGAGAGTAGGATAACAGATGAACAAGGAGGCTTTAGGAAAGGTAGGGGGTGTGTGGACCAAGTGTTTACAGTGAAACATATATGTGAACAGTATTTAGATAAGGGTAAAGAGGTTTTTGTGGCATTTATGAATTTGGAAAAGGCGTAAAACAGGGTGGATAGGGGGGCAATGTGGCAGATGTTGTAGGTGTATGGTATAGGAGGTAGGTTACTGAAAGCAGTGAAGAGTTTTTATGAGGATAGTGAGGCTCAGGTTAGAGTATGTAGGAGAGAGGGAGATTATTTCCCAGTAAAAGTAGGCCTTAGACAAGGATGTGTGATGTCACCATGGTTGTTCAATATATTTATAGATGGGGTTGTAAGAGAAGTGAGTGCTAGGGTCTTGGCAAGAGGTGTGGAGTTAAAAGATAAAGAATCAAACACAAAGTGAGAGTTGTCACAGTTGCTCTTTGCTGATAACACGATGCTTTTGGGAGATTCTGAAGAGAAGTTGCAGAGGTTGGTGGATGAATTTGGTAGGTATGTAAAAGAAGAAAAGTAAAAGTGAATATAGGAAAGAGTAAGGTTATGAGGATAACAAAAAGATTAGGTGATGAAAGATTGGATATCAGATTGGAGGGAGAGAGTGAGGAGGAGGTGAATGTATTCAGATATTTAGGAGTGGATATGTCAGCAGATGGGTCTGTGAAAGATGAGGTGAATCACAGAATTGATGAGGGGAAAAGGGTGAGTGGTGCACTTAGGAGTCTGTGGAGACAAAGAACTTTGTCCGTGGAAGCAAAGAGGGGAATGTATGAGTATAGTTGTACCAACACTCTTGTATGGGTGTGAAGCATGGGTGAGGAATGTTGCAATGATGAGAAGGCTGGAGGCAGTGGAGATGTCATGTCTGAGGGCAATGTGTGGTGTGAATATAATGCAAAGAATTCGTAGTTTGGAAATTAGGAGAAGGT